TGAAATCGCGCTGTACAAATTGGCTGCGCACTAATTAACGCAACCACTTCCAGCTGCCAGACGGCCCTTACCCTAACCGAGAGAGCACCAAGGACCACATACCAAAAAACCAGCCTGACTAAAATGCTTGCTCGAAAACGTTGCTGGCTCCCGTACTATATATATATATATATATATATATATATATATATATATCTGTTTATATTTCGTCAAAGCAAGAAAAAGATCGATAACCTACTGTGCACGCAAATACGTCATTATAATTGTAACCCAAGTAAAGAAAACAAAAGTAGGTTAAAGTTGCACTTTTTAATTTCTGATTTTTCTTGCTTATAATAAAATTGAAAACTTTGCTTCGTCTTTTGTCCAGTTTCTTTATGAATGAAACAAATAATACAATTTTTAATGGTTATGAATTGGTTAACAGTTCTAGTATGTGCGAACCTTGATTTTTTAATTCTTGTCTCCATGGTTGATGGTATCTTTCTTTATTCATTATGACACTAAATATAAATGGAAAATAAGATGGAAATTCATATTCACATATAATTAAAATATTTAATTAATTATTTAGTACTTCATGTTACATTCTACATTTTATAAACTTTCTAATTTTTGCTGCATATTTCTTCAAAAAATATATATTCTTACTACTTCTAGTTAGTGTCGTTGATACCACCGTGCGTTAGAAATAAATAATGAATAGTAAGTACGTACTTACATTCGAAGTACGTTGCATATATTTGCACATGTGAATAAAGTCGATGACTGTAAAAATAAACTAAACACGATCTCTCACGATTGCCATCTGCTTGCACCGATGATCTTGTTAGTATCGAATTTCGTATGTTGAGCAAAACTTGTATATATTTTACATCGGGATTCGAACATAACAAAAATATTAGAATAAAATATTTTCCAAGAAATTTTATATATATACACATATATAAAATTATGTCATGATGCTGTAACTTATCAACTATGGACTTTTTGTGAACTGAAATTCGATCAAGATTATCCTGAGCTTATTTCAAAGCTGAAACATATCTGCCCTATCTGCTCAAACATTTTGATAAAAATAATTTTCTGAAAGTTTGAGCTTTTAAAATTGTCCTTTAGATAGTGCGCAATTCAATCAATTTTGTATATATATATATATATATATATATATATATATATATATATATATATATATATAATATACCTTGAACATCGAAATGTGCCAATACAATTTAAAAGAAATCAAATAAAGATTAGTGTGTCATTTAAAATGACTTTTATGCCTTAAAAACATTTGTCTGTGTTATGCGTTGCAGTGGGTAAACCATTCACCACACATTACACGTTCAATATCTCAGTCATATATTTTTATAATTTTTCTAGAAGCAATGCTATGGCTAGAGAACGTCACCTAGCGTGTGTATATATATATATATATATATATATATATATATATTATGTATGTATGTATGTATATATATATATATATATATATATATATATATATATATATCGTTATATTAAAACAACGAACCATTTAAAGACAACTACAAATATAAAATGATAGCATTGGGAATTGCTGCAATGAAGGAAATGCAATAAAATAAAATAAGAAAAATAATAGTTGAAACTGACAATACTGAAGAAGTTTATGAGCATTTGTTTATTCTTCAAGTGAAGAGTAATTTAACAGAACGTAAAAATAAATATAGAAATTCTATAGCTTTGTTTGTGTATTACGCAATGCGAAACATTTCTAAAAAAATATGTTTAACTTGTTAACAGGAATATATATGTGTATACAGATTTAAATATAAATTTTGAGTTATATCGAGTACGCATCTCTTATGGAAACTAATTTATTTGCTTGGTCAAGAATGAAATAACTAGAAATAAATTGAAAAAGCAAGCTGAAATACATTCCTCTTCTATATACAATATGTGTTTATATAAATTGTGACAATATTTACTTTAATCAACAGGTAGCGCAGCATCCATTTTATTTGGCAACGTTTCGCATCTCGCGATTTGTATATAGTACACTCTATATATTTATTCAATTCGAAAAGAGAACATCGGGTTATGATAACCATTATTATGGGTATACAATAATTTGCTTATCAATTTTGGCATAGAACCATGATAGCGAAAAATTTTTGTTCGAAACATATCCAAAATTTGTTTTTCTGAGCTTGTAAAAAACTGCATATATTATTATTGTTATATAATTAAAGAAGTTAATTTTGATGTTGAGATATATGAGTGAATTCTTTTTAGCCGATTCAAATGAAGGACATAAAATAAAGATTTAATAATTAATCAATAATTATTTCATACCTTTTGATATAAGAATTTAACATGAATGAACATGATTTAGCACTATCATTTATACACTATCTTGTCTTTCACTCATTTTTTATGTTAAAATGTGATGAAATATAGCAGTGATATGGAACGTGAATAATTTATATGTATTACAGAAGATTTTTGCAGGAATAAGTTGTAATCACGATTGGCTCCGATCTTCGATCAAATTGATTTTCATTGAATTGAATTGCATCATTATTTCGGACTATGGTTCTAGAAATATTATTTAGGATTATTGATTCAAAGTTTAAATAAACAAAATTATTAAAAATCAACCACAATAATGTCACAGTTTCACCATACGAGTAGTTCTATATTGCACAAAAATCTCAAAATTTTAAAACTACATGGAATTTTTTTTTCTCGTAATACTCTCGATATAATCATCCGGCTTGACCTTGAGTTCTGAGACACACTATATATATATATATATATATATATATATATATATATATATATATATACTGCATTTTATATATGTCTACATATTTCTTAGTGAGTTGATTTCATATTGAAATCTATATCCATTAACTGAATAAATCGCATTACAAGTAACATCAATATATACATTACATATAGATTACTTAATAAATTCAGAAGTATATACTAAGCTTTCAAGCGAAAGCTAGTTCGTCTGCATTATAATCCGGAACAAAATCTTTGAATTATTCAAGATGAAATGAAAATGCAGCTCGATACAATGTTATCTAAAATATCCGCTCTATATGATAACACATTTAGATTCTGAATAGTTATGTTACATGTTAAATATAAATACGTACAACAAAATATAAATACATAATATGTATTATGTACAATAAATTGTTTAATCATACTGCTAATTCTAATTTGAAAATTATACTTAATATCCTGCTTCAGAATAACCAGTTTTATTAATCATTAGCGAACAGATAAAATACAAATATTAACATTCGCATGCACTGACTACATGCGTCCTGATGTATTCATATTTATTATTATGTAGATATATATTTGTATATGTTCTGAATTTACCATAAAGTGGAATGCTCAATTTACAATGAAAGTGATAATAGTTATATTATTCCAAAATGATCAGGATCGTGTTACATATATTCAGCAGAAATGATAGTTATTGGAAGCCATAAATATGGCTGCCAAAATAATTTCGGATGTACCTACACATATTCCATCAGCCAATTTTGCATGTGTTAATAAAATTAATGACTTATAACATTTTGACTAGATGAGAAAATATATTTTTATATATGAGCTATTCAGTGCACGTACTGATAACTGAAGTAGTTAAGTATGTTACTTACGAAAATTCATGTTATAATATAAATTCAAATATATAACGTAGAACATAATTACATTATAGCTTACATGAATTTAACTGACTGAGCAGCTTATATCATAAAAACATTTAATATTCCTCTAATATTTCATTGAGGTACGGGAAGTTCCAGCAATTTTTTCTCATGCACATTGCTTTACGCTACTAGTTTACTATTTTATTGCTTTCTCACACCATATCTCACTATACTATATATAATATAAAATTTAATGGTTATAAACTTGTATAAGGATATGCAAGCCACTTAATTCTTTTTACCAAATAATATCAAAATTTCACACGATTTGCCACGGTTTTACAAAATGATTGACATGCGATCAAACAAAACTATATATAAAATGATTTTGTTGAAATTCATGCATTTTCAGTATATGAAATTAAAGTTTTTAATATTTGATATAATTTTTTCAATTCTAATAAAAATTTAATTATATGATCAATTTCAATTAAAATACTGATTTATTTCAATTTCTGATTTTAATTAGTGCCATCCAAGTTTTATGGCAAAATTTATTTTAATACAATCTATAATAATATATAATTGTGTTAAAGTTATTTATGCGTTTTTATTGTAATCCCATTTATATATTATGATATAACGCGATTAAATCTATAAATGAGACATAAAATTAATTTCGTTGATTAAACCACAAATTTTAAATTTAATTTGTGTAGTTTGATAATACTAATTCATCTATACATTTATTAAATGAGTGAACATCAGTTTAGTTGTCATTTTGAAATGTCATCAAATATGATAATCTAGACAATTATAGAATATATTTATGAAAGTGTAGAATATGCTTAAATATTTATAAACCATATTATTGAATACATTGTTATGTTTTAAATAAACGGTTATTAACACAATTTTATATTTTGTATGATAACTTTTAGTTTATTAATAAAACTAGATTACTGGGTTAAGTAGAAAAATTCATATGGTTTGCAGTTTGAGTTCTTCTAGGATATATGCTGCTTTACCTCAGTTGTAACTATATGTATAATCCAATACCTTGAATTTCAACGTCATAATGACAAATTTCCTTGAAAAATTTCCTTTAACTAGTACGCATGACAAAACATTTGATAATCTAGTCATATTTAAAATTGAGCCAATTTGTAGATTTTTGAGTTTAATTTCGATAATCTTATTCAAATTCTAATTTTCAGTAATAACCCACATGCAACAATTGATCAGTGCATCAATACCTAACTTTGTCATTAAGTATAATGTCTGTATTTTTTAAAAAACATCCTTTTATTGACTTGACATTTCGCAAACTATTGCGAACTGATGCGTCCCAATCGCCTTTCGAAGCAACCACCAGAAGATGCTTCCAGCTCTGTTCGGGAAAATATTCAGAAATACAGTTTCGAGCGCAGACTTTCCTACGATATAAGGCCAGAGGAAGCATTGCAGAAAGTCGAAGCCCACTGTGCGGATTTCAAATCGCAACTGGCCAAAGCGAAGGTAGCGTTCGACCGCCGTTACAATGCCGAAGAGTTTCAAGAACGCGGAAAACTTAAAGATTTCAATATACTAAGTACTCTGTCCAAAGGAGCCTACGGTACAGTGGTGCTGACCACTCTTGCAAATGATCCAAGTCTTGGTCTTGCTATGAAAATATTAGAGAAGAGACATCTCATTAAAAAAAACTGTGTTCGACAAGCCCTATCTGAAATCAGGATCCTGGACGCGGTTGAATTTACATTTTTAGTGCATTTACATTATTACTTCAAAGATAATGTATACATATTTTTGGTGATGCAATTTGTAAATGGAGGAGACATGTTCATGCTTTTGAAATCTGTGCGGAAGTTTGATGAAACGCGATCGAAATTCTATGCTGCCCAGGTAAAATTCGTTTTATTTTAGACTATCCAATGAATACTACAGATCGATCATTGTGTACAATTTGAGCGAGTTTGAGAACAAAATTAAATCAAAAACCTCAAGTACCTATTTAGTGCTTAATACCCCTTAAAAAAGTTCACAAATTCCAAATTATTTCTAAATATAATTTTTTTTTTCAAAAAAGGCAATTTATTCGAAAATTTCAAAATTTACAAAAATCAATTTGTTTCAACGTTCTAAAAAAATTGAATCTTTTTTTGAAAAATTGAATTTTTGGTACGGGAAGTTCCAGCAATTTGCTTTAAATGCCATACACCAATAGTTGGTTTATTCGCTTCAAAAACAGTCATATATGTGACGCTCGCACACTAGGAAAATGACATAGCTGGCGGGTGTTGCTCAAGAACTAAGGTAATTAGGGGCTGACACTATAGTTTTATACTCCAAAAATTTCATTAAACTTATACTATTTAAACAGAAACCAACAAACTCTTGTTTTTTACTAATATTAATAATATTAGTGAAATATTATGAAAAAAATAATAATAACAATTTCATAGAGAATTTTATAATAAATAAACCTATCTAACATAATTTTTTAAAAAAAAATTATGGTTTCGGCGGAAAATGGGAAAAACTACATTTTTGCACCTTTGACCTTGAATAAAAAAAATCGCAGATGTCGGATCGATGGGGACTTTTGACATTTCATTTGTAATGGCCTAATTAACATTTGTACCAAATTTCAGCTCTATGCGAATTATTCCTAACTGAAAACTTAATTTGACTAGGGTATAAATATTGTACAAAAACAACCTTATTGAGATAGCATAAGCTTTTGGGATGCATTTTGGTTTTGATACAAATGATTTCTTGTATATCATAATTCATAGAAACTTAACGCTTAACGCAATCAAAATAACAAGTTATTTTTCGAAAATCTATTAATTCGATTGTAATGCTACTATCTTCTGTTTTTGAGCGTTGCACACTGTTTACGAATCTTCAATATTATCATTTTATTATCATTAAAAAAATTAAAAAAATTAAAAAATTAAAAAAATAATTATAGAAATCACTCAGTGTTCTAATATTTAATAGATCTCTTCTATGAACTTCATAGTGTGAAAAGTAGTGAAAATCATAAAAATATTACTCGTATTTAGGGTTGTCTACAGTGTCATTTGTCAGTGATTTTAAAACGCACATAAAATTTAAAAATTTGTGTTTACGTAAGTTAAAAAAAAATAAGATAAAACTATACAAAATTAACTTTGATTCTAAAAAGTAAAACCACAAAATGACGCAGTGTACTATATTCAAGAAGTGTTTTGAGAAACACTCCTTGAATATATTTTTTTACATTTTGTTTTGTTCTTTAGGTGTGTTTGGCATTTGAATACTTACACTACATGGGAGTGATTTATCGCGATTTAAAACCGGAAAATATACTAATTGATTACGAGGGATATATCAAGCTGACGGACTATGGTTTCTGCAAAAAGGTGGATGACGATCGAACCTACACCTTATGTTCTACGCCGGACTATATGGCCCCGGAGCTGATCCTTAGTCAAGGGTACAATCGATCGGTTGACTGGTGGACATTTGGCGTTCTCATTTTTGAGATGTCCTCCGGCAGGTCTGATGAAATATTTCACTATCTGTCTATCTAATACTTTCACGTTTTTATTGAAATTTAATTCTGATAATATTTTAACAAGGGCGCCATTTACCGCATCAAATCCAATGAATCAGTACGAAAAAATACTCAAGGCTGATTATCAATTCCCTCCACACTTTTCGAAACCTCTTAAAGATATCATATCGAATTTTCTTCAAGTGGATCGCACCAAGAGATTCGGTAATTAATTAAAATTGCGAAAGTATTTCTTGTGATGATAGAAATACTAAGTTCTTAGTGTGCTTTGTCATATAAAATTATACTTTGAACTTGAAATTCAAAAATTGGTGTGGTTTGTATTACGATGCACATAAGAAGTAATTTTTTTAATTTAATGGTTAAATTGCACTTGGAACATTAAACACACACGCATATATATATATATATATATATATATATATATATATATATTAATTGTTTAATATGAACAAAACAGCACTCAGATTTGTTTAACACAACTTTATTTTATGATTACAGACGTTTCGAGACCATGGTGTGTCTCATCTTCAGTGTAATTTCAAAAACAGTTACTTATATACTACACATTCTTTAATACTTTATTTAAATTTCATTTAATTTTTGATATACAAAAAAACACCAACTATTCCTTGCAATGCTTGACACAGTACTCTTGCAATGCTTGACACTTGTACTCGTTCCACTCATATCATAAAATTCTATAATATATATATATATATATATGTGTGTGTGCATGCAGGTTTTACATATATACATTATAAATACATAATTTATTATCACTATAATCAATAATTTTGGCTATATTGAAGAAATAATAATTCACTTATCGCATATGTCTTACCATGCAATATTTTAAGACATATGTTTCATCAATGCATAACAAATTGGCAAAAATGATAGAAGTATAATTTTTATTAAATAATAAATTTTATCTTATTAAATAAAATAATTTTAAGAATTTATCAAAAATAAGTATATCGTTCCTTTCAACTTTTTTGTAAAATGAAGTGCATTGTATTTATTATATTCATGCAATGAAAATTATTTATTGGTCAAGTTTTTTGGCATTGAAAATGAATTATTTGGATTCTTAAATAATAGATCATTCCATACAAAAATTTACAAACTCCTTTGGCCATTTTACAAATATCATTCCTTATCAGTGAATGCAATTCTATTTTCTATTTGTTATTTCAGAGTTTCAGAAAATATGCATTCATATATTTAGAATACCCTATTATAACTTTTTAGTATTCGACTATATTTTGCATAAAATTTTACCAATATTATTTTGAACAAATCTTCAAATTTTGTGCATGTATTTACTTTTAGTTCAAATATTTTGTCAAAATTTGCTATTCTTAATATTCCATTTTTACTTTACTTCCATGTTTTTCTTATATTTGTGACAAGGTTGCAATGCCTTTGTATACATTCATTAGAAATAATAAGTATTAAAAATATATAAAGTGTCAATGTATAGTTAGAAAATGGCCAAAGCATCAGATTAAAAGATCAATAAACAATAAAAAAATATGTTCTTCCTCATCTTAAAATGTATTTTTTTGTATTGGTCTCATTACTTTGATCTATAGTCTCTGAATGCGAAAATTCCGCATTAACTTGAACTCGTAAATTAACTCTTTTCGTAAAAATCTTTAGCAAGTCGTATTGAATATTTAACAATCGATTTTGCATCAGGTTCTCAAAAGAATGCTATAAAGCAGATCAAAGGGCACGAATGGTTCTACTCATTAGACTGGAATCAGGTATTGAATCGCTCGGTGAAAAACATCTATAGGCCAAAACTGAAGGGTCACTTGGACACGAGTTATTTTGAAGCATATGACTCCATGACTTTACGAAAGGCATCCAAAAACGAATACCCGCAAGAATTTAGAAAAATCATATTGGAATAAAATTTACCTTAAACGAAATTGTCAATATTAATATGTATCACACTTTGTGTTTTAATAACCACTTGTCTCATCAAAATTGATTTTATCTCGTGCATTCAACGTTATTTTTAAAACAGTATAAATCTAATTAAATCATTAATTGATATCACCTAATAAATTAAAGATAATTATGAATTTGCATTATTTGTTCATAATAACAATATAATTACGAGTATCACCTTCGCAGCCTATGCAATAAATTCTAAATTTTCTTCGTTCAAACCAATTTGTTTTTATTGAATATCAGTTTTATTACTCTTATATTTATTAAAACAACAGCATAACATACTTGTATATCAAGTCAACTTTTTCTGAAATTTTAATGAACAGCGTATATTTTTCTAGTAAATTTCGAATTTTTGTGAACGAAGTTCATAAAAGACGAGTGCAGTTATAAAACAAATTTAATTGAAGTTTGATTATATTCTTAAATAATAATTACGAAGAATATTGAGAAAAGTTTTTATGCGATGGATCAATAACTGCGTTCATAAAAACACATTATATATGGAAATATAATTAAGCAATCATGTAGTTCACACTTCAATAAAATCTGACATTTTATTTGACTTGCTTTTGTAAGTAGAACATGAAAATATAACAAAATTGTACATTTAGTTAATATTTGTATTTATTAACTTCCCGTAGGGCAAGTTATAGTAATCGCAAAAAAATCGAAAATGAAAATTTTTATATATCTTTACGTTTCAGAGGTTTCTGAACATTTTGGCATACCTTAGAAAAAATGGATGTATGTGTGTGTGTGTGTGTGTGTATGTATGTATGTATGTATGTATGTACGTGTGTGTATGTATGTGCGGATACAAATTTTCGTCGACGATTTCGGGAACACGGATCAACCGATTTGAATAATTCAAAAAACATTCGATTTGTATTGATAAGGAGACGTGCTGATTAGTTTTTGGCGAGGGCACGTCTAGCCGTTCCAAAGATACGGGGCAAAAAGTGCCAAAAACGGTACCTTCGTTTTTAAGAGAACGGAGCGTCCGATTTGAATAATTCAAAAAACATTTCACTTGTATTGACAAGATGTGAAACTGATCAAATTTTCACGAAGGCAGGTCTAGCGGTTTCGGAGATCTAATGGAAAAAGTAAAAAAAAATGCCATTCGGCGGTTAAAAATGATCATTAGACATATTCACATCAAATTATCAGATATTTTATAGAGATTTTAACAATAAGTATAATTTTTTTTTACATTTCTATGGGTTCCGTACCAATTCTTATGCGTTAGACGGCGACGCGGCACTTGCGAGCTTCGACATTTCGTCTCTATGCAGTTCAAGCAGTGCGACTGCTTTGAAAAAAAGTTCAGAATTTCCAAATTATGTCAAAATGAAGAAAACATTTTTTTTCAAAAAATTTTTTTGTTTTTAAAAAAAAATATTTTTTTTTCTCAAAAAAATTTTTTTTCTCAAAAAAAAAAATTTTTTTTCAAATAAAAAAATTTTTTTTTTCAAAAAAAAGTAATTTTTTGTCAAATTTATAGTTTCTCAAAAATCTATTTTTTTGAAGTAAATTTTTTTCAAAAATGTTAATCGTTTAAAAATAATAATTTTTGGTACGGGAAGTTCCAGCAATTTGCCTTAAGGCGCGATGCCCTAATTGCCTTAAGACAGAATTCCACTTACAGCTAGTTTTAAATTATTTTTAAATTATTTTTAAATTATTTTCTCATGACTATAGTTTTTTTTTTTGGTTTTTATATGATATATAATTATACAAAATTTATATTAGAAAGACACATTAGAAAAAATTGTGTTTATACACTGAAGATAACTCAAATGGGAACGCGAAACAAAATTTGTAAATTTATGCATTAAATTAATGCAAAATTTATTACAAATTTGTTTGAACCTTACTTATAAGCACATTCTCGGTTACACACTTTACAATTTTACACATAATTTGTTAATAATGTAACTATAACTATAAATAGCTAATCTCTATTACATATTTTAATTTTTTAATAGCAAGTATAGAAATAAAATTAAATAGTTAAAAATAAAACAAGTTCTGATAACTAATAAATAAAACAGGCGTTACATCAATTATATTTATAATTTAGCTAGTGGCGTCGTGCCTTAAGGCAAACTGCTGCAACTCCCATATTGTTATTTAAAAGTTTGAAAATCATAAATTGGTTTGGAGTTTTTTATGCATGTGTGTATCCAATGATATGATAGCGAAAAGTTTTTTTTTTAAACTATTCTCTATATCTCTTAAACCTGGATCTGCCTTCCCAAAAATTTAAACAATCCTTCATCCTATTAATACAAGTGATATCATTTTTGAATCATTCAAATCGAGCGTTCCGTTTTCACAAAATTGCCATTTTTGCACTTTTTGCTTTGTATCTTCGATAAGGCTCGATCTGCCTTTTCCAAAACTAATCAGCATGTCTCCCAGTCAATACAAATCAAATGCTTTTTGAATCATTCAAATTGGTTGATTCGTGCAACCGTAATTGTGAATATAATCACACACACACATACATCCATTCGCTCTAGGCAGGGCATGCCAAAGTGTTCTGCAGACTTTGATCTACAAAAAAAGAGTGCGCGTAAGGTTCACACTAGATTAAAGTAAAACTTCTTTGCTACTGTGCAAGATGGCACTTAAGTAAAAATAAAATACATCATATAAGAATTTTGAATAATGTATATTAGTGATATGGCAACACTCGTGATGCACACATTTATTAGTGTCAACCATTATACACATTGATATAATGATAAATTATAAATTATATATTTATAATAGCATTAAAAATATGTATAATATTTGAAAAAAATAGTGGAATTGAAATCATACTTCAAATATGACATGATCGGTTTGTCATTGCAATTAGCATTTAGAAATGAACCTTTATTAGAGAAATGAAGTAATTGCTGATTAATAAATTCTATAATATTCGTTCACACAGTGGATTATGTTAAACAACGCTTAAAAAATTAATGTTTTCGCAACTTCACTCATCATGTAATTGTGTTAGAGGAACTTCATGTAATTAAAATTAACATGCATTCTTTTACTTTTTTGCTGGCGATCTAATCTCATTCTTTGAACTGCTCTAATATCTGTCTTGCCTAAAAAATATTTTTCATTTTATAACTTCAAAGATTAATAGAAACCACGAATAATATAGAAATATTTTTCAATGGATAAACTTACGTTTACTACACGGCCCAAATGTTTAATATGTTTTATTATTATCAAGAAACAAGGTAAAATATTTATTTGATTCAGGCATTTTTCATTAAATCAAGATTTGTACTACGATGTAACTTCAAAATGTTTATTTATCTATGCCGATTTCCTTGTTAATATCGGTACGCATGCAACGTTGACGCCGGTACGCATACGACAAATTTTTATTCACATATACGACGTCTAATCACAATCGACCCGTATAAAATTGATATCATCAAGAGCGAATGACTAATCATCGGCACTCGACTCTTATCTTATCTGCCGTAAAGCACTTCCGTTGCATTTGTACGGATTTACACCCTAGTCACGCCTCAAGAAGTTTTACTTCAAAAAAATTTTTTAAATTTTTTGCCCCACTTAATCAAATAACGCTACCAGAAGTTAATGAAAACGAATTAACTGCAAATTCCCATAATGATCAGTTGTGATTTTTAGTCGATCGCAATTTTTATCCCATCGAAAAATGATTACTGACATTCTGACCTGTTCGCAAGATCGTAAGGTTCAAAACGTTGCATATTGTTAGTTTTCGATGATCTGAATCAGTCAGTCGTGCGACTGATCTGAAGATATACGTATGCTGCGGCAAAATCTGTTCTACGCTTCTCAGAATAAAAGCGCACATATTTATAGGAGTAAATTGCTCGAGAAATACGTGCCGCGTCGATATTACGCTCTGTGCTCGGTTGCCTCGTGCCGCATAGAGAATACTAACAATATAAAGCGTAACCGGCGCACTGCCGAGCAATAATAACTCGTATGCTTTGGGCTGCTTAAACTTTCGAACGAAGACAACAATTTCATCAAACGTGCCCTTAATATCGAAGGGGAATAAAATATGTGAGGCATTCGTAGAACTTTCCATATGACCTCAGTCGTGCTAGTGACATACTGGTTATCGCTTGAAAAATGTTGGAACTTCCCAAATGTAAACACATGTGTCTGCGCATATATTGGTGTGCTGTCATCGACTTATTGTTTGGTTCTTTCAGGATTAGGAATTGCAGGAAAATTTAATTCCAATAAAAAGTTCAAAACTATGTAAACCAAGGAACAAATAACAAGCTTTAGTATTTCTTTTAAACTTCCCGTAGTTATTGTAATCGGCCGAAAGTCTAAATTGAAAATTTTTACATTTCTCGACGTTTTGAAGGTTTCTGAACATTTTGGCATACATCAGAAAAAATGGATGTGTGTGTGCATGTATGTATGGACACAATTTTTCGTCCACGTTTTCGGACGCACGGATCAACCGATTTAAATGGTTCAAAAAACATTCGATTCCTATTGATAGGGAGATGTGCTGATTAGTTTTTGGCAAAGGCAGGTCCAGCAGTTACGGAGATAAACAGCAAAGAGTGCAGAAAATAAAAATCGAGTTTTTGAGAGAACGGAGCACCCGATTTAAATGATCTAAAGAACATTCAATTAGTAATGACTGGGAGAAGTGTTTATTAGTTTTTGGCAAAGGCAGGCCCAGCCATTTTGAAGATACGGAGCTAAATGTGCAAAAAATGACAGTTTTTAAGAGAACTAAGCGGCCGATTTAAGTGATTCAAAAAACTTTCTGCTTGTCTTAACAAAATAATTGATTTTGGAAAAAAAAATTTCAACCTAAATTTTTTTTTCAATTTTTTTTTTTTTGTATATCGAAAATAATTCAGATTTTATTTATTATTGTTCTTAATAGAAATGATTAAATTTATATATTTTTCTGAGCCCGTAG